TGTAGGAAGCTCTGCAGAAGTGACGTTTTAGGTGTTTGAGCCCTGGTAAGCAGTGGGATGCATGTAGATTAGCTAGTTCAGTAGACAGTGACAGGTGGTAGACAGGCAATGGAGATAAACGCAGGTTAGAAAGATGTTTTCATTATAGATACAGAGCTCTGTGAGAGAACAGGAGAAAATGATTAGTGTTAAACCTGCACTGATGTCCCTCAGAAAATGAGCTAGGGTAGCTGAGACCAAGACTGACTTTTGGTCCGTCTGCAGTTTGTGGTGGGACACTCTGGGGGGATGCTTACGATCATGTCAATCTACTTTATGGCCATGTCAATCAAGTGGTAGTCTGGGTGGCAAAAATGTATTAATTCACTACCAAATTTATGTAGTGTATCTCAAAAATTATCTATTTCATACATGTAAAAATGCAGAGAAAATGAAGCATTTTTCTTAAAATCTGAATACTTTTTTTTTTTTTTTAAATGAACTTGATCCTTGGATGAACCATGGCCTTTAGCAAGCTGCTGTGGCTTACAGAATCACAGAATCTCAGGAGTTGGAAGGGACCTCAAAATCTCATCCAGTCCAACGCCCCTGCCAGAGCAGGATCACCCAGACCAGGTCACACAGGAACGCATCCAGGCGGGTTTTGAATGTCTGCAGAGAAGGAGACTCCACAACCTCCCTGGGCAGCCTGGTCCAGTGTTCTGTAACACTCACAGTAAAAAAGTTTTTCCTTATGTTCAGGTTGAACCTCCTATGCTCCAGCTTGCACCCATTGCCTCTTGTCCTGTCATTGGCTATCACTGAGAAGAGCCTGGCTCCTTCCTCCTGACACTTGCCCTTTACAAATTTATAACCATGAATGAGGTCACCCCTCAGTCTCCTCTGCTCCAAGCTAAAGAGACCCAGCTCCCTCAGCCACTCCTCATAAGGGAGATGCTCCACTCCCTCCATCATCTTTGTGGCTCTGCGGTGGACTCTTTCAAGCAATTCCTTGTCCTTCTTGAACTGAGGGGCCCAGAACTGGACACAATATTCAAGATGTGGTCTCACCAGGGCAGAGTAGAGGGGAAGGAGAACCTCTCTGACCTACAACCACCCCTTCTGGTACGCTGCAGCATTTGCTCAACACTGACCAGTAATGTAGCTGAGTAAGTAATGGATTTGATTCTGTAATGCATTTCATGTTCATTTCGTGTTCAGAGTAGTTTGCTTTTTTATTGGAAACAGGTTAATCTCTGAGTGGTCTGGCCAATGAAGGCAGCACTAGTTTGTTGTTACAGAAGATTCACGTTACTTGTAGTTAATTAGAAGGATGCTTCTGGCAAGTTTATAAATGTGTAGGAGGACAATGTTACCCTGGTGTTTTGAAGAGAAAATACTTCTTATTAAATACTGAGATTTTTATTGTGTTTATGAAAAGGGAAGTTTCTGTGGGAGGAGTAGCCTTATAAGTTGTGATTAGTTCTGATTTTATTTCTCGTCATAGCATTCATTGTGAGACAAATAATGGACAGTTAACAGGAAGGTGTTTTCTGTAGCACTGGTAGTATGGATAATCTTTGAAAAAGGTTCAATATCAAAATAGTAAGTTGGAATCTTACTTGTTGCAAATAAATTGATAATGTTCTCCTTTTGCTGTTTCCCCCAACCAGCAAGTGTTCAGGTGTTTCAGTCTGCTCTGTGATAATAATAATCCTGTTAATAGTTACCTATTGTGCATGTTTCCAAAACGCAGCCTCTGCTTTGTGGTCAGCATCTCCATCATAAACTGAAGCAATTGGGGTTTCCCCCAAACCTTTCTGATGAATGTTTCAGTAGACTTGGGCTGCCACAACCGAGACCACTATGTGGTAATGCTGGTGCACGTTACTTAAAGGGACGGAGGGCTGGAGCACCTCCCCTGTGAGGACCGACTGAGAGAGTTGGGGCTGTTGAGCCTGGAGAAGAGAAGGCTCTGGGGGGACCTTATTGCAGTCTTCCAGTCCCTGAAAGGGTCATACAGGAAAGCTGGGGAGGGACTTTTTGCAAGGGCAGGTAGCGATAAAATGAGGGAGAATGGTTTTAAACTGGAAGAGGGGAGATTTAGACTGGATATAAGGAAGAAGTTCTTTACTGTGAGGGTAGTGAGGCACTGGCACAGGTTGCCCAGGGAAGTTATGGATGCCCCCTCCCTGGAAGTGTTCAAGGCCAGGTTGGACGGGGCTTTGAGCAACCTGGTCTGGTGGGAGGTGTCCCTGCCCATGGCAGGGGTTGGACTGGATGAGCTTTATGGTCCCTTCCAACTCAAACCATTCTGTGATTCTGTGTCTTCATCTTTACTTGCATTTGAAATGGTTTGGGTTAAGTAAACCTAAGTGTATATAGCTAACACTTTTTTCTTATCAGAGTGTGTCACAGGTAAATGTTTTTTAATTTTTTTTTAAAAACTTTTAAGGGACAAAATGAAATCTTAAGGTAGAATTGCTCTGAAGTTTATTAATTATTAGTTCTGAGCTTGGGAGTATATAAGTAACATGTGATAATTGGATTTTATTGCTTCAAGTGCCTCATCAGTACATAATTTGTTTCTAATCCTGTATGCAAGAAACTCATCTTTTTTGAGCTTTGACTGCTAAAACTGGGTATGTTAGCCTTCGAGCAGCAGTGCTGTCTGGTATGGAGAAGAGCCAGTGTGAGATTTTTATCAGCAAAACAACAGAGACTCTGTATGCCAAGTAGCAGTTGCCCAGCATTTGACTGGCGTGCCAGAGGTTTTGCCTCCTTCACCCTAATGTTGGTGGCAAAATTCAGAGCTGTTCATATTTTTGGATAATGAAACTAATATTGTCTGGGCGTATGCTGCAGTATTTCTAGAGAATATTGCAAAACCATTTATTTTAAAAGAATAAAAATTTTAGAAGTGTCATATCAAAAACAGTGACAAGAACAATGGAGACTTTGGAACATCTAAAAGTAGTTTTTCCAGCAAACTTTTAGCATTGATACTGATACCTCTTGAAACAGCTGAGTTGGGGTTTTTTAGATCTTTACTTATTATTAATTGTATTCAATGTCATCTTCAGTTATGAGGCTTGTGTTTGCAGAAGAGGTGAACTTCATTGCATGCTGATACTGTCAAATGAAGCCATGTCCTGGACAGTGTGGGGTTTGTGTGTGTGTGTGTGTGTGTGTGTGTGTGTGTGTGTGTGTGTCATTGCTGAAACCATAGTTTGATTCTGTTTTTCTGAATGTTCCTTTTCACCGCACGTTTTTCCTTTCTTTTTTTTTTCCAAAGCTATTCAATGTCAAAGATAAAATCTGAAGTTAAGTTTTTAGTCACTGGGTATCCATTCAGAATTTTTTTGATGTGAATTGGCCTGCTCAAAAATTAATATGGCATTAGTATGCATAGAGAGCGTGCTTAGTGAACTGAGAGACTTTCTGCCCAACTGTGAGGTTTTTTTATTAAAACTGTCTTGCTTTCTTTTAATCTGTTTTTAAACTTAGAATAGCTACTGTATTCTCAAGTATGTGGCAAGGAGAGCCATATAAGAGAATTGCTGCTTATGGTAGTGACAAAACCGGTAACTTTCAAAATCTTCTTTCTTGATTTTGCTAGTTTTGCTATAGGATACAAAGACAAATTAATGGATGAAGCATAAAAAGCACTGGAAGAAAGTGTATCTGCAAAACATTATTAAAATTGGCAAAGAAGGATTTAGCAGAAATTGATTTATATTGTGGCTTCTGTCAGCCTTTTAAACTTAGAGGTTTTTTGTGCGACACCTTCAAATTCTGGAATATTTAGCTATGAGGCGGCTATCTCCCTGACTACTTCATTCTCAAATTGAAGTGACTTATTATGGTCTCATTAGATTTTTGCAGCAGAGCAAAGAAGTGAATTATTTCTGAAAAATGTAAGTGGGTCATGAGGGGTTGATGTCTTGAAAACCAAAGCAAAACACTCTTAAGGCCTTCCTTGCTTGCCATGGAAAATTTAAAAGAAATAAATAAAAACAACAAAAGCATCCATGCAATTGTTTTTCTTTTTACCAGGAAGAGGAATTGGTTTGAAACATAGACTTAACATGTGTAAATTGCATACTCTGTGGTAGCTAATCTGTGGTATCTAATGGTATCTAAGTGGGAGTTATCAGTGGTAGCTAATATTGGCGTATAGTTTTCATATATCTTAGTTTTGTCCATTGAGCAGATTTTTTAAAAATATAGTGAGTTTCACTCTGTTATCCTAAGTAGTAAATTAAACTTGTCTTGCAAGAGTCTGTGTTTTTGTTAATTCTACCAAGATAGCTTCTGAATTTGGTGCAACTAAGCCTTGTCTCAGACAGTGTATGTATGTACAGCACTAGGAGTTTCATCTTCATCTATTAGCTGCTTGTCTTACTGTCTTATTAGTAAGGGAATGATAAAATATGTTTTTCTATGAAATATAGCACACTGATGATAAAAAAACCATGAGAAAGGCAGGCATTTTTGGAAGCTGGTAGAGATCTTGTATCTATTCTGGTTTTAATTGATTTAGATCTCAAGTTGGTAGTAAATTTTAAATAATAGCTTTATTGAAATGTCCTTCACAGCCACGTTATATTAATACTATATAGTTGAGCTTGAGGTTGGCTGAGTAGACAAATGCATTCTATCTTCAAGTTTTGTAATAGCATATCATGAGTGAAAAATGAGATAAAATGTTTGAGGTGCTGTTTGTGTATTAAGCCAGTGATCTGAAGCGTTTTCATGCCTTTCTAGATGTCTCAGTCATTTTCATGCTAGACTCCTTGTAATTTTGCTAAAATATACTTTGTTGAACAGGAGATATCCAGAAAGTCTTGCATTAATTTGCTGTTGTTTTTGCTCTTCAGACAGTGCCCTGTTATAAACTAAAATCACACATTCCTGACTGTAAACTGATCATGTTCCCAATGGAAATTTCAGAAATACTTGTGGCTATTTTCAAAATGTTGAAATCTATTTCTGTTTTTTCCACTTGTTTTTCTTACTAGGTTTTGGCACTGATTGCATTCATCTGCATAGAGACCATCATGGAATGCTCCCCTTGCGAAGGCCTTTATTTCTTCGAGTTTGTGAGCTGTAGTGCATTGGTGGTTACTGGAGTTCTGTTGCTTATGTTCAGTCTGAATCTTCACACAAGAATACCACAGATCAACTGGAATCTTACTGTAAGTTCATACAAAGCCTCACTCTATTAAAAATAGCTGCAAATCTTTTTTTAAGTTTGGTTTTTGAACTTTATGTTCTACTGTTGTTTAAGATAGTGTGAGTGTTCTTTATGCTGAGTAAAGTATACGTTATACTTACTTTTATTTTGAATACTAACAGCAGATTGAACTTTAAGATATGGCAAGATTAAACTACATTAAATAGAACAAAAATTGTCTTCTGATAGATTCTCTTTAGAAGGAGAAACTGCCTGCTAATGCCAGCAATTACTGTTTGTGGATGAAGTGGATAAAAATGCAGCCTGTAGTTATTTAGCTTTGACAGATGCTGCATTTACAGTAGCTCGTTGTTCTCTTAAGCTGTTTCTTATAGTGGGACAGCCATGCTACATATATTTTCTTACACAGATTAATACAATCATTTGGTAGTAATGTAAAAAATTATGTGCTTTCTGTGAAAGTCGGGTGTTTCGAATTGCTCACACACGTAACTATTAAACATTGACTGGCAGTACTTTATGTGTTCTCAAATACTTGAAGTTTTAGGAAGAGAACTGCTGGCAGTGCACATTCCTTTTGCACAAGTCTCCATTTCCATGCCGTATTATGAGTTAAACTTTCGGATTGGGTTGCATAAACACAGGTCACAAAATCACTATGTTAGTCACTCTGGTAAAAGACCTGTCAGCTTCAAGGACAATATTTATATCAACTTCTTTGGACATTGCAGATACTTACATGCCTATGTTCTGTTTTATTTTATAATAGTATTTGTAAGTACTGTTGGAGACCAGTCCCAGGGTTTTCTAATCTTCTGTGTAATTTTTTGTTTTTAATGTAATTTATTAGTGTTGCAATTTGCACACTTGCAATAACTGTACATAAGCCTGAATGAGTTGCCTGAAATGAGACTGGAATGTGGAATTAGATGATCCTTTGTACCCTAGGGATGTATGATCTATTGAGGAACTTTTCCAAAGAGTGCTTGGTAGATAGATTAGATGGTCTGAGAACTGTGAGTGGAGATCCAGTTGGCTTGCAAAACAAAGCCAGTGGAACCACTGGAATGTTACTGGGTTGTCTTGCCTTTGCTTCTTTTGTCTCCATTCTGCCAGTATTGTCACCACTGGTCTTTGTGGCACGCGGCACCTGCAGAGAGAGGATAGTCTTAATTTCTGTTGCTTGGTTGTTTAACGAGCATCACAGCAGCCTGATGGCTGATAACAGCAACTGAAGACCATCTTTTTATACCACATAGTTCTGTAATTGCTAGTAGGATGTACAAGAGCATGAGAACAAGTGTGTAAGTGCATCAGTGTCACCTAAGATACATTATGATTTTGCTGCTGTGATGTGAGTTGTTTCACAGTGATTACTATTGAGTTGGCCAAAAAGTAATTGCATGGTTTTTTTAAAATAGATGGACATAAATGTCTTGAAATGTAACTAACTTAATTTTAAACAGCAAATTCATTATGTAACTCGACAGCTGACAGTTAAGCTTGTTTTAGAAAAATAAAGTGCACTATTTGGTTAGCAATTATTTATTTGGTGTCGGTTTAAAAATGGAAGATCAAAAGGAACATTTTTGTCATATTTTGCTGTATTATTTCCAAGAAGGAAAAAACACTGTGCAAGCTCATAAAAAGTTATAATGTGATGTGTATGGTGATGATGCCTTAAAAGTACAGCAGTGTCAGAATTGGTTTGCTAAATTTTGGTCTGGAGATTTTGTTGTTAAAGATGCACCACGCTCAGGAAGGCCAATCAAAGTTGTTAATGACAAAATAAAGGGATTGATCGACTCCAGTCAGTGTTTAATGACATGAGAGATGGCTGATAATCTTAACATAGCAAAATTGAGCGTTGAAAACCATTTAAAACAACTTGGATGCATTAGGAAGCTTGATATTTGGGTACCACATCAGCTCAAAGAAATTAATCTCGCTAAGCACGTTGACATCTGAGATTCTCTCTTGAAATGTGAAGAAAACGATCCATTTTTGAAACACATGATAACAGGCAATGAAAAATGGATTGTCTACAACAACGATAAATGACAAAGATCATGGAGCAAGCATGACAAACCAGCTCAAAGCACTTCAAAAGCAGATCTTCACCAAAGGAAGGTCATACTGTCAGTCTGGTGGGATTTCACAGGTATTGTGTACTTTGTATTGCTTCCAAGGAAACAAACCATTAATTGGGATGTGTGCTGTCATCAACTGGATAAATTAAATGTTGCCATCAAACAAGTGTCCAGAAGTGGTGAATTGCAGAGGTGGTGTGATTCTCCATGATAACACCAGACCACATACAAGTTTGGTCACTTATCAAAAACTGTTGCAGCTTGGATGGGATGTGTTACCACATCCACCATATTCACCAGAACTGGCACTATCAGACTGCCACTTGTTTTGTTCTTTACAAAATGTCTTGAATGGTAAAACCGTCACTGCTGATGAGGATATCAAATTGTCCTAGGAACTGTTTTTTGCCAAACAAGAGAAGAAATTTTTTGAGGGCAGAATCATGAAGTTGCCTGCAAGATGGCAAACAGTAATTGAACAAAATGGACAGTGTATTGTTTTGTTTCCTATGAAAAATTCACCTTTCATTTACCCAGAAAAAATAGGCAATTACTTTTTGCCCAACCCAATAAATCCAGCTTGAATTCAAAGCAAGCTTGACCAAGACTTCTTACCAAGAGACCACAGAGTGGTGTGCATGGTGTCTGTGACTGAGCTGAAGTGGTGTCTCTGGAAGAGTCACTTCAATGACTTTGCATACCCTTGTTTCCGTATGTCTCTACCTTTTGTTCTGTTGTTGTGCACTATGGCATACTTTTACTGCCTATCAGAACGCTTTGACAGTATGTTGAATGTGTGTAAGTGCAAAAACCTAAATGCACCTCTCTGCCTTCCCCTAAGTAATGCAGTAGGTCTCAGATTTAGCCACTCTTAATTCCTACAGTAGCTGAGTGACAAGAATTGCTGCTTTGAGTGCAGCATTACTTTTCTCTGCATAGCACTCTGTTAGAGATGTTCAGAGAAAAGAGGGGTTAAAAATTGAACCAGTTGTGGGTGGGTTTTTTTTTTGGTGGTGTGTTTTGTGTGTGTGTGGGGGGGGGGTTGGGTTTTTTGGTTTTTTTTGTTTCCTTTTTTTTACAAGCTAAATATTTTGGTTTTTAGAGCATTGGTCACACTCTGAACTCCCTACCTTAACAGCATGGAGCAACATGACATAGAGTTCCACCTGAAGGGCAAATGGGATATACTGCAAATACTTATGCTTTAGTTCATATTGCCACATCAGCAGAGTTAGAAGTAAATTGTCACGATCTCACAAGTCTCATTCTTTTAGTTACGTACTGAAGATGAAATGCTTCTTCCATTGTTAACCAAAGATCTCTAAGAGAAGCAAGGAGAGAACTGGAAGCTCCTGACTTCCATTAATGGATGAGACCATCCTTCCTCCTGGTACTGCTCACTGATGTTAGCAGTCATTAGTCTGATAGGACTGGTACTCTGAGAGGAGTGTGGGAGTATCTTTGTTACTCAGATAGCTGTAAGCTAATGTTGCATGCACAGAGTGGGAAGTGAAAGGCTGCTGCTAAAATACCTCTATCAGAGATTATCACAGGAGTTGCTTTCTGAACAACAAGCTTTCATACTCCTGAATGCTTTAGGAGGAAATAACTCCTGCTTATGTGTAAATTCATTAATATACATACTTTAAAAAAATATGTATGACTTTATAATGGGTATTTCCCTTGTAACGAGTCTCAAACTTCGCTTTTAGAAGCTGTGTGAGAAGAAGAGGCTGTTACAGTGCACGAAAGAAATTCATAGTCCTAAATTTAGGACGTTTTTCTTTAAACACAGTACTCCCACAGACTTCCTAGGAAAACCATTTGCTTTCAGATGAGCCTACATATTAGAAAGCATCAGGCCATCAACTGCTATTGTCCAACACAGGATTGTTTCCTTTAGTACTTTATTAAAATTAGACTTCTTTCTAATGCATTGTGTATATTGTCTGGTGTCCACTATCCCTGGCTGGAATGAAAATGTGAATCAGTTTGTACTAGCATCTAACAGATATGCAAATTTACCCTATTTTATATATATATGCATATATACATTGCCATTTGTGGAAAAGAGCTTTGTTTTGCTCCTAATTAAGAGACTTGTCAACCACTTTCTCATTTTCCTGAGGTAAACATGAAAGAAATATGGAGATGGTGAGGCCAGAAAATAACCTTGCTTGGGTGTGTTGGAAAGAGGCAGGTCTGTTACAGTAAGATGAAAGAACAGTCACTTGTCTGTGTTGTGCAGCGCTATCAATATTATGCAAAACGTGGGGAACCTGTCAGTGGAAATTTCCATTTCCTTTATGCTTCAGAACTCAAGCGGAGCCTATTCTGCAAGGGGACTCGCAAGTGGCATAGGGGAATGAAGAGCACACCACAGCAGAGATTCCTGCTTAACTGATGAGCTACTGCTTTGAAATATTTGTTTTCAGAGTTAACTAATAACTGAATATTTGCTATAATTTAGTGTTTGACTAAATTATCCTTTTTTTTTAATTCATTATTTGAGTCTCATGTACAGTAAGAGCTTAAGGTCTTGCAGCCAAACCATGTGGATGACATGGCCCTCTAGAAGTAGAGATGGGGGAAGTTTACAGAAGTGTTTGTAGTATCTTTGGTAAATTTGCATGTGGTTTGCCAGGCTTTCTCACCATTACTGTTACTGCAGAGTGGATCCACTGTAATGCTGCAGTAGCTTTTATTCAGGGCTGAGAACTGAGATGACTTGGGAAGGGGAGAAGTGATGGCAAACAGCTGAGAATACAGGAATTTAACAGCGTCTCTTGGACGAGAGTTTGTATAATGAGAGAAATCAGAGTCATTACAGATGTAAATCATTGCATAATCTTCCAGTAGAATGGACTATTTATGTCTGTGTGTAGGAAAAAAATCTAATAGATTTTGACCA